GCGGTCACCGCGATCTCCAGCTCCAGCCGCTTGGCCTCCTGCTCGTCAACGTCGGCCTGCGGCCCGCGCCGAGGATCGGGGAGGGTCGGGGAGGATCGAGGAGGGTCGGGGAGGATCGAGGGTCGAGGAGGATGGGTCGAGGAAGATCGCGCGCACCGATCCCCTCCTGGTGCTGGCCCCGTCCTGCACCACATCTTCCCTCGAAGATGCATGCACATCGTTCTGCTGCGACTACGTCAGGACATCGAATACTTATACTACGAAGAAAACTAAGACGAATACTAAGAATAAAAAAAACATACGAATAATACGAATGCGAATAATACTGACACAAACATTGAGAAGAAGACATATAATAATACATAAATGAATGAATACATGAATCATACTAATAATAATCATGAGACCGAGGAGCGCACAGCGTGTCGAGTGCACTGAGAGGATACATGTACCAGATATGCTGGCGCACCAGGTGGTGCTGGATAGTATTGGTAAACCCCTCGCCCCAGCCTTCATGTTCTCATGACGGTCGAAGTCATACCCATTTGACCGGACGGTGAACCAGCAAATCTGACTGCTTCGCTGCTGATGCTGCGCTGACATCATGCATCATGCATGTCAGCGAAGATTATCAACCTTGCTCGCAAGCTAATCACAGCATTCCTCTGGTGGTTTAGGACATTATCCCTTCAAATCACCGTCTTCCCCGTCGGGGATGCGGGGGTCTTGACTGTGGTTCCCCGAGGCGATGGGGCGTCCAAGATGGCCCAGACGAGACCACCATGGCACCCGATGCTCAGAATGGCATCCAGGATGGCGCAAGATGGCCCAAGCTGCACCATTTCAGCTTCAAGCATGCCTCCAAGAGGCACGCCCCAAGACGGCTCGAGGCTCGAGGTGGCCACTGAGCCTCCCCAGGATGTCCCCATTCCAGAGCCACCTACATGCGTCATGCTGTTCGATGTTGCTCCCACGCGTGCTAGTCAAGAGAGGGTTCTGGCTTTCTTACCCGCCCGCGTCGCACCCGCGTGTCCTTCCCCCTCGTCATCCTCCCTCCCCTCCTTCTCCTGGCGACGCGCCGCCGAGAACAGGCCTTCTCACAAGGCTGGGGATACCGATACTCCCTGGATCTCTCCCAGGGTGCGTGTATGGGGGGACAGGTGCGTGTCGTGACGACCCCGGCGTTGGTTTCTGACGCTGCGTGGATCGTTCAGCCTCGAGCGATCGGCAGCTTTTCTATCGTCCGATCGTTCCACCGGGCCAGTTCTGGGCCATTGGTGGCGTTCAACCTTGAACGCCCGCGGCGGGGTCCCCGCTGGTCGACACGACGCGAACCTGCCGCATGTAGGAGAAGGCGGGAAGGAGGAGCAAGAGGAGAAGGAGGAAGAGGAGGAGCAGGAGGAGGAGGAGGAGGAGGAGGAGGAGCAGGAGGAGCAGGAGGAGGAGCAGGAGGAGGGCAGGAGGAGGAGCATGAGGTGGAGGGAGAGGAGGAGGAGGAGGAGGAGGAAGGAATGAGGGAGGGAGGAGGCAGGAGGCCAGGAGCGGCATTCGGGGGGAGGAGAGGAGGAGGAGGAGGAGGAGGAGGGGAGGAGAGGAGGGTGAGAGGAGGAGATGAGGATGAGGGAAGGCTGCGAAGGCCTGCCGGAGGCCAGGAGCCTTCGGAGCCCTCTGAGAAGGCCTGGCCCCCTCTGCCTCTCCCCCCCCGGGCGCGCCGCCGACGCACCCCGCGCGGAGCTGACGCCCGCCCCGCCCCCCTGCCCTTGCCTGGAGAGGAGGGTAGGAGGAGGGTAGGAGGAGGAGGGTAGGAGGAGGAGGAGGAGGATAGGAGGAGGAGGAGGAGGAGGAGGGGAGGAGGAGGAGGGGGAGGAGACTGGAGAGGAGGAGGAGGAGGAGGAGGAGGAGGAGGAGGGGGAGGAGGAGGAGAGGGGAAGAGCAGCAGGAGGGAGGAGGGAGGTGGGGGGGGGAGGGGGGAGGAGGGAGGGATAATGTAGGAGGGAGAACGAGGGAGGAGGAACCGACTCTCAACCACCATTGCACAGCCACGCACCGTGGACGTTCAACGTGCCAGGTCCACGGAGGAGCCCTGGCAAGACGCTCGCGGGAGCGTATCGTGTGCCTCTCCTTGGGAGCCTCGCAGCTGCCCCACAAGAGCCTCGCGGGAACCTGTGCCGAAGAACTGCCACGCCTGCCACGCCTCGGGGGCGCGGCACTGTCAGGGGCCCACCCCCTGCGCACTCCCTTCTGATATCGAGGAACTGCTGTCACCAAAGGGGGTACGTACGCAGAGGGTGGTCACCCTGTGTCCGCGTCACGCTCCCTGGGCGTGGCAGGCGTGCCATGTACTTGACACCAGAAAGGGGTTGCGCAAGGGATCCGGTGTTTGTGTGTTTCACCGTCCATCGGCGGCGAACCTGGGGGGGAAGTGGGAAGGACAAGGCCTTCTCAGAAGGCCTGGAAGTGCCCAGGCCTTCTGAGAGCTTTTCTAAGCCTTCCCCGACGACACACAAAAAAACCTCGCAGAAGGCGCGAGGGCTTCTGAGGAGCCCCGCCGACTATTGAGAGAAGGCCTCCTCCTTCTCACTCCCCCCCCTCGCTCGCCGCCGAGTCGAGGGCGTGGCAGGGGCAGCACCTCCCCGCCACCAGTCCAGGCGCGTCCCCTCCAAGGCGTGGCAGCGGTGGTTCGGAAGCCGGGCAAGGGCTGCTAAATCCGTGGCTGCTAAAATCGACCTCCGGGAAGTTGTCTTCGTCCTTCCGGGAAGAAGCCCGTTGACTGTTTCGCGTGCCGCGCCTCATTCCGGGAAGTTGTTTTTTCCTTCCGGGAGGGCCGTTTTAGCAGCCACGGTTTTAGAAGCCCTCGCCCAGCTTTTGAGTGGTACTTCTTCGACGGTTCAGGGGGTGCGGTCTCATGGTCGAGTGCGTCGCCGGGGTGGGACGTCCTCGCACACTCTGGAGGCGCGTTCGCAAGATGCCGACGCGCATAAAAGAACCGAGCCGAGGACAGTCTCGGAGTCTCGGGCCGCCAAAACAAGGAACGCTAGACAAGGAACGCGGCCCCATGTTTGGCACACGCTGCACTCCGATGCCCCATAGAAAACCGAAGAAACACTTGAGACAAGCTGTAAAACAATGGAAAAACACCGAGCCCCTCCTCAACGAAACGGACTCCTTCTTCAGCGCCCCGACTGTACGCGGTGTCCTCGGGCCGCAAAGTTGGCTGCTCGACCTTCTGCCTCCAGTGGGCCTCCGAGGCCTCAGCGTGGGCTCGAGACGGCCCCCGTGACTCGTGCCCGTGAGGGCCCCCAATCCCCCAGGGGCAGCCCCGGGAGTGCCCCGCGAGTCCGAGCCGCCGCTCCTGGGCCGACGGCCTCCGGGATCTCCCCGGGAAGCACCCGAGCCCCACACGGGCTCGGAGAGGGAGCCAAAGGCGACTTGGACGCCCGAGTTATCCGGGGTAACTCGGGTCCGGGGTAACTCGGGTTTGGGTTCCCGAAAAACGAACCCGAGTTAGCCCTGACCCGAATTACCCCTGATGATTTTGGGGCTCTGGACGCCCGAGTTATCCGGGGTAACTCGGGTCCGGGGTAACTCGGGTTCGGACTCCCGAAAAACGAACCCGAGTTATCCCCGACCCGAGTTACCCCTGATGATTCGGGGCTCTGACCAAAGGCGACCCGTAGTCGAAGAAGAAGCTCTCGGAACTCCGCGCGGACTTCTCGGATCGCAGCTGGACCCGGCAGGAGCACGCCAGGGGCGGCGCGGCCGCCCGGGGGGGCCCAGCGCCGGGCCAAGAAGTCCGCGCGGGGCCCCGCAAGTCAATGCTTTATGCAGTCGGTGTGTGCTTCGATCTGCGGCCCCAGCAGGACCCCAGCATTGAAGGGGCCCCAGGACACACAAATAAATACACACAAATAAAAATACGCACCATATGTTCCCATATTTTCTTGTTTTTTGTCTTCCCCCCAAATTCCCATATTTTCCCATATTTTCTGGGAATCGAGGATTAATTGTGTCTGTGTGTTTCTTTCCCTCCTGAAGCATGGCCTGCAAGGGTATCCAAGAGGGCCCCAGAGCCAGAAGTTGGCCGATGTCGGGGGCTGCTCGGCACGATCCCTGCATCGATCTGGCATTCCCAGACATCCGACGTCTCGATTTTTTCGAGACACGGGCCCCCAACCTCCCGACCACTTCCCCGGGACCGGTTTTTCATCCCGAGTCGTTTTTTGACGGTCCCGAGGCCCGGCGAGGGCCTCCAGAGGCCGAAAACGATGAAAAACCTTTGTCTCGATTTTTTCGAGACGCCCGAGGTCTGGGTTTGTTCCTCCCCCTCTTGGTCTCGCTGCTGCTTTCCCTGCTCTGCTAGGGCACCCTTCTCACGACAGCTCGGTCCGGGAAAATCGATTCCAGCACGCAGCTCCCGCGCGTGACACCGCAGAGAGCACTATGGCTTCCGTTTTCATAGGGGGGGCCGCGGGGACTGTGTGCCCAGACCTCGGGCGTCTCGAAAAAATCGAGACGAAGGTTTTTCATCGTTTTCGGCCTCTGGAGGCCCTCGCCGGGCCTCGGGACCGTCAAAAAACGACTCGGGATGAAAAACCGATCCCGGGGAAGTGGTCGGGAGGTTGGGGGCCCGTGTCTCGAAAAAATCGAGACGTCGGATGTCTGGGTATGAGGAGCAGATTGATCGGGCCGAACGAAAGGGGGGGATAGGGAAAGGGGGGGGTTGCGAACTCTGCTGCGTGCAGCTGGTTTCGTGCCCGCCGCCGGGCCCACTCCTCGAGACATGGGCGCCTCCCGGCGCAAGGGGGCGCCGGGAAAATCAGCTACGTGAGCTGATTCTCAACCCCCACCTTTGCTATCCCCCCCTTTCGCCCGGCCCGAATTGAGGAAACGGAAGGGCAGCGGGAGGATCATGGGGGATGGGAGTGGGAGACCTTGCGGCGGAAAGAGGTGCCGTTGGCGCCCGTGCCGTTGACCACCATGGCGTCAAGGATAAGCGGCCCCTGTCGGAACGGAAAATGCCAGCACCCCTCGCTCATCCCTCCCCCTATCCTCCTCCTCCTCCTCCTCCTCCTCCTCCTCCTCCTCCTCCTCCTCCTCCTCCTCCTCCTATTCCTCCTCCTTCTCCTCCTCCTCCTGCTCCTTTAATGTATTATCCCCTTCCTCTCCTCCTTGCCCACCTTCCACCTCATGCTCCTGCTCACCCTTGTACCCCATCCTACTCATGCTCCCCTGTCGTATCCTTCCGCTCTTCTCCCCTCCCCCTTGTGGGGGAACATCAGCCGCTACTCCAGGGACCTCTTCTGGTAATCTCTGGCCAGAATTTCGACGCGAATCCAGCCGTGGTTGAGAGGGAAGGGTAGACGAATCGGTGTGCTCTCTTCTGCTGACCCCCTTCAGACTTCTCCGTCATCGTCGTCCTCGGTCCCGACTTCGCCCTCCGTCCCTCCTCATCCGCGCACCCCTCCCCCTCCGATCCTCCTCCGCCTCCTCCAACTTCCTCCTCCTCCTCCCTCCTCCTGCTCCTTCAATGTAGCATCCCCTTGCCCACCTTCTACCTTCTACCTTCTACCTCCTCCTCCTCCCTCCTCCTTCTCTTCCTCCTCCGCCTCCTCCTCCTCCTGCTCCTCATCATGCTCTTCTTTCGCCTCCTTATTCTCTTCTTCCCTCCCCCCTAGCCTCTCCGTCGTCGTCGTCGTCGTCGTCGTCGTCGTCGTCTTTCTTCTCCTCCTCCTCCTCTTCTTCCTCCTCCTCCTCCTTTCCTACTCTGCACCCCCCCTCCATCCCAGGCGGAGGAAGGCTCTTCTTGCGGCCGGCCTCCGACAGGCTCCGAGCAGAATCGGTGCCAGGAGGCTAAAAAGTCCCACGGCGGACGTTTTCATACCATCCCCTGGCCTGGGTGGACCACGAGGGGGAACGCAGGAGGGGATCGGCGCAGGGAGGGAAACGTGGACCTGGACTCGGCGCCGACAGGCTGCGAGCAAAAGCGGTGTCACGAATCCGAACAACTCCAGTCGGGGCCTTGACCTAAGGAACCCAAAATAAGGAACGAGGCCCCTTTTTTCCATAAGTTAACCTTCGATTTCCTGTCGAAAACCTAAGGAAAGCCTGAGGCAAGCTGCGAAACACTCAAGGAGCGCGGAGCCCCTCTCCAACGAAAAGGGTTCCTTCTTCAGGGCCCCGACTGTACACGGACAGCGCTGTCATGTCATGCCCTGGGGTGGATCGACCTTGAGGGGGAGCGCTAGTTGGGCACACGCTAGGATGGGTTAGCAATCTGGCGCGTGGGCGTTAGATCCATGGATCTCGATCTGGCGGTCTGGTGCGTGGTCGCCAAATCCATGCATGGGGGAACGTGCCCCCCAAACTGGAAAACAATTCCGCCTCATCCGGCGACGGATCGCGCCGGTTTCGCTTGGAACGGGACCCGCCGCGAATCACGCACCACAGACCATGCTCACGTTTCCTCGAGTTAGTGGGGGGCCGGCTCAGGCAGGGAGCATCGACCTGAAATCGGCGATACATCGCCAACAGATCGGCGATGCGCCCTCGATAGCGAATCCTCACGTGGGATGCGCTATCAGGCCTCTATCGGCGATCAATGGGCGACTCAGGGTCGATGCCCTTTCCCCTGAGCCCCCCCCTATCGATGCCCCTGAGACCTGGTGAGGGGCAGAACGAGGCCATGCATGCATCCAGAAACTCGATCCCCATTTCACCTGCCCCACACCTGGACACCTCCATGGTCAGTCGGCAGATGGTCGCATTAGTTGGCTCCGAACGCCCAACGGCACCGCCTTACACTTGCAAGTGATACCGACTTGTTGCGTTCGACAGTTGCTGCTTACTGCGATGTCAATGATCGTGTTGGCATGGCCGTCTTGGGGCTGTCTTGGGAGCCTCTTGGGGCCCTTTGGGGAGCCTCTTTGGGCCCTCTTGGGAGCTTCTTTGGCCCTTTTGGGAGCCTCTTGGACCGTGGGCCCTCCTATGCCGTTTTCGGGCCCTTTCCGGCGCCTTTCGGGTCGTCATTGGGGCGATATTTGAAGCCTCGTGGGCCGTTTTGGAACTTTCTTCTAGGGCTCCCAACTTCGCGCTTCGCGCTGCGCGAAGCGCGAAGCGCGAATAACTTCGCGCTCTCGCGCCGCCCTCCCAAAGGGAGAATAGGAGGACGAGGAGGAGGGGGAGAAGGAACGAGGACCGCGAAGCGCGAATAACTTCGCGCCCTCGAGGGAGCCCTTGGTTTTCGGGCCCTTTCAGGCGCCTTTTGGGTCGTCCTGGGGCGATATTGGAAGCCTCGTGGGCCGTTTTGGAACCTTCTTGGCCCGAATAGGCACGAACCCCCCAAACATGCAAAAACCATTGAAAAATTCGGGTGTTCCGCCTCTGGTAGCCCTTCCGGAAACCCTCGGGAAGGCCTCTGGATTCGTCTTGAGGCTCTCGTGGACCGTCTGGAGGCCATATGATGCTTTCTTGGGGCCGTCTTGGTGCCGCGTCATTCGAAAACATAGAAGAAAAAAAGAAGCCATGGAAACCGCCCGGGAGCCGCTTCACCAGAAAAAATACGAGGGAAACGGTCCCCATGCAGCCATTAGACGTATGCATGCCCCCCATCGCCCCTCCCCTGGAACCCCTCCTTCGAGGGTTTCGTCATCACTCGTGCCTCGCTCGTTCCGTTATTTTTCGCCTGCGCCTCGCCCCTACCCTGGAACCCCTCCCTAAAGGTTTTCGCCCCACGGGAACGTCATCGCGACCCTCAGGGGCCTCTCGCCGTTTTAACGCTCTCTTGGGCCATCTTGGAGCCCTCCTGGGCCGTTTTGGAGCCGTCGTTGGGCCGTGTGGGCGGCCTCGTGCGCCGTCTTGGGGCGCTCGTGGGGGCCAATGGAAAGGATATAACATGCAGCAGGTTCTGTAGTGAAGCCAGGCCTGGAGTTCACTCGCGGGGGGGCTTCGTCCTCGCGCTGCCCTGCGACACGCGAGAGGCAGCAAAGGCAAAACATATTCCCATTAAAAGGGTGAGAGGGGTGGGGAGCAAGGAGCGGTTATAGAGAAATGAACGTGCACCGAACGGTTCTCATTGTCATTAAAGTGCCCGCACAGCCATGACATTTTCACCCAGCTGCAAGTTTCGTAGTGAAGTCAGGCCTGGAGATCACTCGCGGGGGGGGGCTTCGTCCTCGCGCTACCTTGCGACACGCGAAAGGCACCAAGGCAAATCACACCCCCGGAATCACAGCCATCGAAAATCACGGATGGCATGCGTGCGCTGTTTATCGTGGTTGAAAAGTCGACTGAAGCATGCGTACAGGAGGTCGAGAATAGGGTTGCGCAGTCAGCGTCCAGAAACGACTGCCAGGGGCCTTGCCTTCAAGGACCCTGTGTGCACATCGTGTTGTACCGCAAAGGCCTCGACCCGAACATCTGCGTTCAAGATCTCTCGAGCTGTCCACAACATTACAGATTATGAAGCGCGTGGTTTTCCGCTACGGTTCCCCACCGACAGAAATGCGCGCCACGAATTACAACTTTAGGAAGCGAAGCTGCCTTCTCGAAGCTAGAAAGGCGCCAGAGCATCGAGATTTTGGGATTCTCGTCGATCACAACAACCTTTCCCAGCTTGCGGCGAAGAAGAAAACTTGAAGCGAGAAAATGGCCAGACGGTTCCCGACTCTAACCTATTCTCGATCCGACACCGAGAGGTGAGGGACGCCAGAAACGTGTGCATTTGTACTAAGGGGAGGGGGTTTTCCTCTACGAGCTCTTGAGAAGGTCACACAGGGGCATCTGATCAAGGCTCCTCTACATTCGGGCTTCTGGAGGCGAGCCATCACTCTTCTCTAAACATCTCTTGTCAACTCGTGATGCGGTCTGTGGATGATGTCAATCGAAACACGCCGTCCTCCGTTCCGCTTCGCGGACCTCGCGAATCTCCCGCTGCTCGAGAAGAGGTCGTCCACGCTTCAAACACTGGCAGCGTCGGCGCCGCGAAAAACGCGTTCTGGCCCATGAAGTTCCCCTGGAGATGCCTTGCGCACGCTGTGGCGTAGTCCTTGAAGGGCTTCGGCAAGCTCTGCCACCTCTCCAAGATCCGTCCTCCTTTTCGTGTCGCGTCACACTGCTCAAACTTCGCCACCTTCCTCTCTTTCGAATCTCCCCCAGCGGCCCCAGGTGGTTCAAGGCGTCGATGGAGGCCCCGCTGTGGCGGGCCAGGTAGGGCGCCGCGCTGTGCATCCCGATCTTGGCTGCCGCCTTCTGGACCATCTTGGCGGAGTCCTCGCAGGTGCACTGCCGCGGCGGATCTCCCGCCAGGCGCCCCTCCTCCATCTGACTGAAGAGGCCCCCGACCCACTGGAGACGCGGGTGGCCCCACTCCACGGCGTCGTCGAAACGCCCGGCCTCGGTTGGGGGTCGGTCCTCGCGAGGTCAGAAGACGAGGGCCCAGTGGCGGCCGACGTTGCGAGCTGGCGCCACTAACCAGCGAGCGCGCAGGGCGCGCGCCTCTCCAGGGCGCGCCCTAAAACTGAGCATGACCAGCAGCTCGAGCGCTGCCGACCTGGACATCGGGTCTGCCCCCTCGACAGCTCGGCGCAGAGGGCGGCCCGCGCCTCGAAGGCCCCCGGAAGGCGAGAGAAGCCGAGGGCCTGTCTGTCCCACTCCTTGAGAGCGCGATGCGCCCGAAGTAAACGTAGATCCCCCATCCTCCTGCGCTCGGGCACGCAACCCAACCGGGCGGCAATCGTCTGGCGGCCCACGGACCCGCCCTCGCCCTCGAAGTACGCATTGTCGAAAAGGTCGCGCAGCATCCGATCGAAGTCCAGGGGGCCAGGGGATTCACCTCCATCGCCTTGGCGCAGTCCAAGATCGTCTTCGCGGACTGGGCATTGGTCTTCCTGGCGGCGGGCTTAATTGCCCGAGTCTCCAAGAAGCTTCTGTCGCTCTGCGCGGCTGAGGTCCGCTCCTTGCTCTGGGTGCGTCGCCTCTTCTCAGCGCGGCCCTGTTTGGCGAT